AAAAAATCCGCTTTTTATAGCAACCAGGAAAGATATTGAAATTGAAATTCAAAATTGGCTCAGGCACGCGCTTGAAAGATTCAAAAGGGACAAAAATAGCAATTAACACTTTAATATTATAGTTAGATTTCGGATAGAAGAGCAAATTTCGATTCATAGCAAAAATAAGTTTAGTTTGTAATACGTAAACGTATTTTCCTAACTATAAAATCCAAATTATAAAGCTGCTTTCAACGTTTTTCGAAAGTTGAAAGAGTTTGAAAAATTATTTTTGAGAAAGAAAACTTAGCAATAATTTGACGGTTGACTAAGACGACCTAAGAACGTTTCACAGATGTCCTCGAAACAACCCGTCTATAATCCCAGTGATGTCCAAATGACCTTTACGGGATCATCCCTTACATGACCCGAACAGTCCCAAAAGCACGTCCCATGGACGTCCCACTCCACTCCGTCCGTCCAAATGTTTTCTGATGTTTCACAAGCACAAATGGCTTGCATCTTTATTGGAGGATCGCCTGACGCGAAATTCTTTTATATCACGGCCTAAAAACCGCATAAATCTTACCAGTTTCGTGCATACCAAATGGTAAGTAAGTAATTGCAAATTTTTCAAAAACTTGAAGGAAAACTGATATTTTCAGACTTGCTCCAAAGACTTTCCAACTCTACAAATAAAAAGTAAACTATTGTTAAAAATTTAATCAGTCATAGATTTTGTTGCCAAATTTCCGACGTTCCATTTCTAATTTTTTTCAACAAAACAACAAATTTTCGCTTATCACATTTTTGGGTTTCAGTAGATTGATTATTACGCCCCTATCTTGTCCCGGCCGTTTTGAGCTCCCGCTGATATTCTGCAAACTGTTCTTCATCCAGGTACCAAAGATCGGTGGGCATTTTCACAAAAACGTTGTTCATCAGTTTTTTGAAAATCTGAGCTAGACTGTTGGCGATGCTTTCCTCCAATTCGGCAATTATTTCCAAACCGTTTTGGTTGATAAAAGCATTGACGGTTCGGCCTGCGGAAACAGAGGGCAGATATTAGCAAACTGCTAAGAGTTTCCAATAGAGAAAGCCTGGACAAATTTTGGAAAATTTTTCAAAATGTTTTATTTCTGTTACCTTTCCATTCTATAGCTGTACGAATTGCTTACCTAAAATCTCATTTCCATTGAACAGATGATCGAATTGCGCCCACAAACCGCCAATGCGAAACTTCACCTTCATCGCATCGACCTGCATGATTTCCCTCTGGTTTCTTTCAGGAAAAGTGATATTTGTGGAAATTTTCGTGCGAATCTCGGACAGTTTCAGCTGGCAGTTGCCATGCCCGACCAGCGGCAACACCAGAATTTGTCCTTTCAAATTGTACTTTGATTTGATATCCAACAGCGGGATGTCCATGTCCAGGTTCCAATGACCTTGTTTGCCATTCCTGATAAATCTTTGAAAGAATATTGCTAGTTAGTGACTGTGATAATAATAGGTTTTTGCATTTTTTATTACTCTGAGTTTTTCGGTGTGGAGTTTGAGGGCCCCTCTACGTGCAAGTCGTACAGCTTTCCACTGATCACTATAGGTCCACTTCCTTTGCTAATCGCCACATTTTCCAGCGCCAGAGGCTCGAAATGTTCCACTTTTATTTCCGGGATTCCTAGCACGACAAAATAGTTATATACGGTGAATAGTTGGCGATTATCCGATTATTCGGCCGTCATTTACAGATTTTTTTTAGCCACCATTTTCAGGGCTATGTTCATTTGGAGCGTCCCAACTATGAAGATGGTGCTATCGAAATGTCACCTAATAATCGGAAAATCCTCTATTGTCCAAAAATAAAGTAAAATTGGGCAAATTTTGAACACTAGTAGAAACTTACCTGCCGCCAAATAGGGAAACAGATGAAGAAACATGTCGTTTATGCATTCGTTGATTTTTGAATCGGACCTTTGGCAGGCTTTTAACCATATAGCTGAAAAATGTAAAGAGTGTAGGTATAAATGATTTGTTTTTGGCGCACAAGAATACTTACGTCTATTCTCAAGTAAAGGGGCATCTTGAACAGTGTAGCCGCAAACATTTTCAACCCACATACCAACAATGATTAAATACAGTTTAAAAGCGCCTTTGCCCATTTTGAAAAAGTCTGCCAAAGAACAAGCACTGGCCCAAATTAGATCCAAATCATCACTGAATTTTACCTAGAGTGGCCAAACATTCTAAAGCGAACTATAATCATTAAAGATCAATTTGGTCGAAATAAACAATGCTTCCGATCAAATTTGAATAATGAACGAAACACTGGTCGACAATTTTACGCGAAACAAACAGAGATGGGATTACACAAACGTTTGATCCGAATCGGCCGATGTTGATATTATACAGGAGCTAAGCGGCTTTTGATGCATGAAAGTGAAAGCTTCAGACCCCCTTTCTTTCAATCAGTGTTCAGTTCTTACGCCACTGTCCCGTTAATCGATAGATAACTATATGAAATACTTGAACGATTACGAAAATTCAAATTGCCTTAGCTCAGATGGATGACATAACATAGCAAAATGGCACATACTGGCTCGCACTAAACATGGATAACTGAACTAACTGATCGATATAAATGGGCTTTGGCATGTTGGATTTGTATCAAAGATACCCAAAGATTTTCCCATGGGATGGAGCTCCTCACAGGATGGAGCTCTTTTCACATTCGCTCATGTTTCTATACGAAAAAACCACTTCAAATTGGTTGTATGTTTTTTGAAACTTTTCACTGGTTTGCATGTTTTTCGAAAAACTGAAATCGCTCAAAATAGTTCAAGGGCTATGCCATGTTCGTAGCAAGAAAGAACGACGCTTCAAATTCCAGATGAAGCTTCAAGAAGAATTTGAGCTCAGAAAACGCACATGCAAAAAATAGATTTTTTGTTAAAGAACTTGCCATATACTCAGACTAGGAAAGCATCATTTACCTAATATGTGAGCCATTCAATCTAGCCCGGGTTTCTTCGCCACTTTTCAAGCTTCCCATTGGATCGCAAGGTTAAAATGTTTAAATAACCTTTTATATGTTAATGTTTCACTTGAGTCTCACAAAAAAAAATCAAAAAGCCCATCTTTGGAACTTGGGCGAAGATTGTTTTGGCGGATAGCCGAGCGAGCCGCCGTCGACGCGAAACCGACGGATTTTTTATGCAAAGCTGTTCTTCTTTACATTTAGGAATGTTTTCCGGGCTTTGAAGCCGTGGTCTATGGGAATTTATTCCTGAAGTTTCGTCCACAACTGCGGTGGACATTATCAAAGGTGATGAGGCAGTGGGCGAAGTGATCTCCCGTGCTTTCCGATTAAGACTGGTTCGACTGCTGTGTTGGAACATATTTATTTTCAGCTAAGTTTACATACTTCTTATTTATTATTATTATTCTACTTATTCTACTTATTCTACTGATCCTTAGTGCTAACATCGTTAGAGTGTCTAACACTCTATGTATCTTAGACTTAATCTAAGTTAATCTAACAAACCTAATCTAAACCTAAACCTAACAGCCTCTCTTGCTTCCTATAACTAACTTAGAGTTAGCCCATGGTCCTCGATGTGGTACAGGAACTGGTCATCGAATGTGGTCCACGTCTTCTTCTCGCAGGGAGAGGTCTACGGTCGCAGTTGAACTTCTTGGTGCAAGAAACCCTGACGGTGGGATTCTTGCTGTGCCGGTTCCTATCCAGGAACCCTGACGTTAGGTTCCGGATGTGGTCCAGCAGGTCCTCTGTATCCAGGTCTCTTCGCAGGGTG